GAAAGAATAGGAGAACAGAGGACTCTATGGAAGTCAATAAAAAATAGGCGAGATAGGTTGGTAGGACACCTTCTCAGGCATGAATGTCTAGTCAGAGACATATTAGAGGCAGAAACAGGAGTTAGGAGGGGTAGAGGTAGACCTAGATTAGATTACAGTTCGCAAATAGGATGTGGGCTGTTCCAGTTATAGGGAAATGCAAAGTTTAGCTCAGGATAGGAAAGAGTGGAGGTACGTGTCCAACCAGTCTTAGGACTGACGACCTTATGATGATGATGAATATTTAGTCATTACCAGACCCATTATATAAAGATGTTGCAAGTTTATTTTAACGGAAAATTTTCCGACTCATTGGTTTGTTACAGGACATTCTGTGTAAAATCTAACGTGATTTCTCTTTTATAATTTCCAGAGGATGGGAACGGTACATGGAGAAGAGCTTCCATATTTCTTCGGGGCCCCGTTGGTGGACGGCTTCAATCACTTTCCGCGCAACTACACCAGGTCGGAACTGGCCCTGGCCGAGGCAGTTATAATTTACGTCGCTAATTTCGCCCGGACAGGGTAAGTGAAATATTCCTTGTTGGATTCTATTTTAAAGTCTGAGGCAAGTGATTCGCTTGAAATTACGATCTGGGCGCCGAAGATAAATCGTTTCGACGACGCCGACGCCTGCCGTCGTCTCTTCCCGTTTTCGAGGGTATATGCCGATGGTAGACGGCGGTAGCAACGGCTTCGGTAGCCAACAATTCAAGTCTAGAGCCATCGCCAAAAGAAATTATAACACTGAAGATGAATTAAGTCACTTTTTTGTTGTCATACCCCAGTTATCGGCAGTAGAATATTTCGGGTGTTATATCAACCAACTTGTCGCTTTTGCGAAACACTTTTTAAAAGACTCCTCTATAATATCTTTTAGGATGCCTTCTTTAAACGGTTTCCTTAAAGCAATTTGTTGAAAAAAAGGTCTCTGAGGGTTGTGACCATACGCTCTTCAGTTTTCCCCTTCTTTCATCCCCGCAGGCAGTACTTTTTATATTATTTAGATAATACGAAAATCATTATTTAAAACACTGACCTTTGAAAACCACCTCGCACATGACAATATAAGAGATAAGACAAAGGGAATAACAATGGTATTTGGATATCTTACGCAATCACTTTACAGAAAAAAATTGAAAAGAAAGGTAAAAGGACTTAATTTGCAGTTTTCTAACGATAATCTTTTTCCTTCTGCTAATCGTAGAAAACAAAAGAAACTATTCATCATTTTTATTATCAACATTCCAGCAATTGAATGAAGTGAAATATTAAAATAAATTTTAATAATAATAATCTTTTTGTCGGATCCTTATGCTATCAAGTCCGGCATAATGAGAACTTGTATTTTTACCCTCGAGTTTTTTGTTAAGACTTTCTTTTACGCGACTGACTAATTTTATAACACTTTGTTCTTGTTAACAGTCGATAGATACTACACGTTTGCTAAATAATAATATCTTTTGCAGGGAGTTTAAGCCAGAAATTCCAATGCAACATACACCTTCTCTAAAATCAGGTTACCGCGATCCTTCCTTTGTTTCCAATATGAATTTTGCCATGTCTTCACGAAACTCCGTTATATCTACGAGGCAGTCAGTGCTTGGCAGAAGTTCTCGCTTAGTAAGGCTCTGTTATTTGTAGCACGGTTCTAAGGCTTCGAATTTGAATAGATTTACCCTATGCTAATTCCTCTTTAGTCTCGGAGTTGTTCAGCCATGTGACGTCTTAATACAGCTAGTTGCAGAAACAATTCAGAATACTATTCGTACTGTCTTACTGTGTCGCGTATTGATCCCGACGTATGTACCTCAATCAGATCATAAAATGGAAACAATTTATATGTAGGTAGGTATTATATATCAAAATCAAAATCTACATAATTGACGATTACATAATTTAATTCTCACATAGTAGAAAATAGGTATATTCTAAATGTATTATTATACTGTCATTTATACGGCTTATTTGGGCTACCCCTTTTTTAGAGTTAGAGGTAGTTCAGAATATCATGGACCGTTGCTTTAGATTGCGCAATGACACAACTCCACCCATTTGCTGATTCCTTCTAAAAGCATTGACTTACAGTTTATCTTAAGGTTCATCCATGGCTAGGAGTCAATGTTTTCTTAATGAAAAATGTGAATTCAATTAGGTCCGCCTGTCGTGCATATGAAGGTTCATGAGATTTTGAACTAGCTGTACTACCTTATTTTAATTTTAGTTTCAATTTCGTAAAGTAAAAAGACCGATAAATTCTGATAGATTTCGATTAGATAATTAAACGCCCTCTATATTTAAAGCACATGAAGAATGTAGAAGTTAATTGAGGGACGAAGTGTCAATAGTAATACATCTTAAAGCTTCTAGAACTGTAGTAAAGTTTTCTGGTAACAAACAATAGCACCAAAAGTACTTTGGCGATCACTAGCGAAGAAATCCGGGGATTTCCATCCGTCGGTTGATCGGGAGCAATTTCTCAGCTGCTACATTTATTACACCGGACTAAATCGGCTCTGGGGCCTCAACGGAACAAGTAAAGAATTGGGAAGGTATAAAATATAGCGACCCGGTTGCCGGGTAATCATTAACTGAATTAATAGCCAACAGTCCGTAACAAACGGCTTTTAAAAAATGTTTGCCAGAAAATTAATAGCCCGCCTCCGCACCCCCCCGCCACCACCAGTTATCGATAGTCACGAAGGCTTACAGCAACGGGATTATATGAAACTAATTTTTGTGTTTCGTGGATTGAATCATCAGTCAGAATTGATTTACTACTGGCTAGTTAGTGTAGAGGCACCTATACAGGACACGCTCGTTCCCAGGATCGTTTTCATCCTTCAACGTAACACTTTATCAGTTGTTACTTTTCCAATGTCGATTAATTGCAAGTTTGCGTGCCGGTGATGGCAATTATCCCAATTATTTGGATTCACTTTCGAACTATATAGTAAACGTTAGCAAAATATTTTATGCACTGAAAATAGAAATAGATTCCGACATAAATCGATTAAGGTATTTGTCGTATATATCTGTGAGTAAGCTTTCTTTTTTAATATTATAATTTTAATAATACCACTAATGAATTTAAGTCGGTTGCCTTGATCCATAATCAAACCTGTCCTTCCAGTGAAGGTAACTCAAGGATCCTTTGAGCTATTTCAAAGGGGCATTTTGGATCATCTGCCATGTCTTGACCTAATCGTCTTTGGAAGCTACAAGAGCAGAGAAGAAATGGAAGACACTTGATGGTGCTAAGTCAGAGAGTCATTCAAAATAAACAAAAAAGCGTCATGTTGGCTCCTCGAATTAATCTGATCCATAACAAGGCCTGTCCTTGCAGTGAAGGTAACTCAAGGATCCTTTGAGAAATTTCAATGGGACATTTTCGACCATCCGTCATAAAGTCTTGGCCCAACGTCTTTGAAAAGGGGAGAAGTAGAGAAGAAATGGATGTCAATTGGGGCTATGCTGGAGAATCATTTAAAATTAAAAAGAACAAGCGGCATGCCGACTCCTAGAATTGATTTGATCCATAACAAGACTCGTCCATCCAATGATGATGCAACTCAACGACTCTTTGAGCAATTTCAACAGGACAATTTCGCCATAAAGTCCTGAGGTAGCGTCGTGGGACTTTCATCTTTTCTCTGAATTAAAGGAGAGACTAGAAGGGTAGTGTTTCCAAACTAACGAGGGCAAGGTTAAAAGTCATATAAATTTAAGGTCCTTATACATAAATCAAGTGCATATACATTCAAAACATACGGAATGCATTTATTAAGTGACTGTGTTTATATATCGTAGAGATTTCTGTCTAGGCAGAAAACCAAAAATTGAAACAATTTGACCAACCAAGCTATGTCAGTATGTAGTTATACACCTACATTTGAAGCTAACTGCAGTATTTCAAATGCTTCTGATTAGATCAAATGAGATTGAAACAACGAACCACGAATTTTGGCATTTCAATAGTTTGTGATTTATTGAGACTACCTATGGCATATCTACTGATGAAATCAAAGAAGATCAATCCGCGCTGTTTAATTTGACCTCCGTTACTAAATGTTCAATTGCCAATAATACCTGCAATTTGAAGGGATTATTGTTTCCAAAACAGACATCTACAGTTCCAGAAATAATAATTATAGGAAACTTGTACACCAACTTTAACCAAAGTTCGTTCGATATGCAATAGTAAGTACGCGGTATTCAGTAGAAGTGCTTTCGCCAATTCCAATTATGCATTGCTTAACGAGCTAGAACTCTATTTTACCCTATAAGTTCAACTTTTCGCTTCAAGTAGCGCCGAGAAGTCAAACCGGCACATTGCCTGAATGTGCCAGCAATTCCCGCAGGAAAGTTCCATTTCCTGTCTGGCATTCATTCTATCTACATACCGTTACTGCAACTTTGATAGGTAGCAGCCACGTATTTGTCGATTACATCTTCTAACCGAAAAGTAGGTGTTTGCCTTCTCAGAAAACTTGAGAATTAAATTAGAAGTTGCTTAACCCAGAGATCGTATACCTACCTATTCGATCGGTGCATCTATCTAAATCTCTCAAGGAAAGAAACATAACACTTACATTGAAAAAGAAAGTTTAAGGGCATTTTTTCTTTATTTACGTACATATATTGCAGGAATACAAAGAAATCAATCCAATCGATAAGCTGGAATAGTTGAAAGAGGGACATAGACGTAGAAACGAACTGAAGATATATGCGAGATTCAGGTTAGGATCAGAAACAAAATCTAATAAATATTAGCTGCCAGAAAAAGAAAGATTATGCAAAATGTGTAACACACACACAAGAAGGCTATAATTTGAGCTTCAATGTAGAACGGTCTTCAATTAATAGAAATTGATCAAATAGAATCACTGATAATCTTGATTATTGAAATTGATTATTTTTATTAAAAAGAAATAACGATTTCCCAATAAAAATTCATACAAGCTCTTCAAAACGGAATTCAACATGAATAATTAGTCTACCACGATAATTCACCTAATTTAAAATTCATTANTTTGAATATTGTTTAAGAATGACTATATAAATATTTACATGCCTAGAAATGTATAAAAATTGGCATATTTATTAAATTTGAACCCCCATAACTTTTTATGGGGATTAGACCGCCACGAACTTTTTATGGTAGAGTGGTGAGGGAGACCTCCTCTTTCGATCCCCTCCAGCCATCATCTAGTCCTTTATCTACGACATCTTATAATTAAATGACTAATTCAACGATAGAATTGAGTCTTAGGGCTACGTTGGATATTTTAATAAGTGTATTTGGTATTCGCTATCACCGGCATGATTGCCAGGTTGTCTGATGTCAGTCATATGGCATCATTGTGGCATAATGATTTCAAATAGAAAATTTTGGCTGATTTGTATGTTTCTTTCTTTCTTAGATAAGTGATTTACACTTTGTTAGATTATGGAGCATTGCCATCAGCTTTGAGTAGTGCACATTGTTTATTTCGTGCATATTTTTTCACAAATCAAAGTCATGA